AAACTACTTTGAGTCTGATTGTAACTTCATATATGCTTGACATTTGTTTATAATGGGGCCCGCTGGAAGAATTAATTAGAAGGAGTGTTTGATATTTAAATGTTTTTCTTTATCTTTTCATATTTCAATTTTTAAAGAAACTTTATCTATAATGGTGGATTCCTAGAATTAACCAACAATGAACTGAAGGTTTAGAACCGAGATGTTCCAAAGGTGATGATCTGATTGTAAGGTGTTCTGAACGTTTGATCTGCGGTGTTCTGAACGTTCTGATCCGAGGTGTTCTGAAAGTTCTGATCCGAGGTGTTCTGAAATCTATAACCCATGGTGTTCTGTGTTGTACACCTAAGTTTTGTATTTGATTATGATTGTAAAGAATTATTCTCTTTACAAGCTTTTTTGTCTATAATTTATTTCTTATGTCTGTATGTACTATACCAATTGATCTTTATTGCGAAAACTAGAACAGAAATATTCATTGAAAAAAATAATCCATTTGGCTTTCAAAAATGTAAGAATTTTTTGTCATTTTTCAAATATTTAAATCATTACCTGTAAGTATTTAAAACAATGACTTGAGTATATCAATCTTGATGAAGTATTCCTGATTAAACCATCGTTATCATATTATCACATTGCTTTAATCATAAACAAATCATTACAAATATGCAAAGTACATTAGGGAAAAAAATAGACGAAAATTATGTATATCGTCTTGCCATTGTCAAAATTTTTGTACGTACAATATACATGCAATACTGCTTTTTTAAAGAGCAACTTCCATTTTGAGCAGGGAATCCTGAGGTGAAAAAGTACATGTCATCTTTCAGCCTTGTTTTGTTTGCTATATATATGGTACATTATGTCATGTGACCAGTTTAGTGCTCCATGTTCTATTTATAGTTGATTTTGTAGAAGTCTAGTCTAAATGTATCGTGTACAAGAGGTGTACATATTAATGATAATGTGAATCTGATTGTCCCCAAAGAGATGTTAGTTATGTGCCAGTAATGAGTGGTAAAAATCTATTATATAATCTGATTGGGGAAAAAGAATGAACAATAAAAAAATTGAAATTATATCTGGTTTGGTTCTGTTTATTTATCATAGTTAAAACATGGACAGGACACATAGAGAATTTTAATGAAACATCTGAAAATGATATGGATCAACAACATTATAGACTAAAGTGTTGCAATAAAAATAACAAAAGCACATGAATTGTTTTCAGCAGTTCCACAGTAGGTAATTAAATATGTGGTACAAAAGGTTTCTAAGCGAAGGGACATAACTCTGGAAGGTTTTAACTAAAATAAACTATTTTCCATTTCATTTCCATAACATAGTACAATATATCAACAAGATCCAGGAAATAACAACACCGGAAATTTCCTTTTTGACACTGGATTAAAAAATGTTTATTGAATGTATAACAACATAAATCAGAACACAAGAGATCTAAAGTGATATTTGTCTAATTTGTGAAATGATGTGAGCCTCAAATAGCACCCAATTACTTGTGTAAATACCTTTAATAAACAGCATACACCAGATCTCAGGAATCTTTGTGCCCAACATGGTGAAATATCAATATGTCTTTAAAGTGCATATAGGTACATGCACTGCATAAAGAACACCAAACTTCAAGGTTTCACAAGGAAATAGCTTCCTGGTTAACAAAAAAGAAGACTGTAAACGACAAGACATTACTCAGAAAATATTGATTCACTGTCACTATGTGCACTTCCTGCTTGTTGACGTGACTTTCTGACAATAATCGTTAAAATGAGAGACAATATCAAAACTAGCCAAGGATGTAACTGGAGACTAGAAATAGCAGTCAGGGGTGTAACTGTACACCAGAAATTGTAGTCAGGGGTGTAACTGTAGACCAGAAATAGCAGTCAGGGGTGTAACTGTACACCAGAAATTGTAGTCAGGGGTGTAACTGTAGACCAGAAATAGTAGTCGGGGGTGTAATTTAGACAGGGGTGTAACTGAAGACCAGAGATAGTAGCCAGTGGTGTAACTGTAGACCAGAAACAATAGTCAGGGGTGTAATTGTAGACCAGAAATAGTAGTAAGGGGTGTAACTGTAGACCAGAAATAGTAGTAAGGGGTGTAACTGTAGACCAGAAATAGTAGTCTGGGGTGTAACTGTAGACCAGAAATAGTAGTCTGGGGTGTAACTGTAGACCAGAAATAGTAGTCTGGGGTGTAATTGTAGACCAGAAATAGTAGTCTGGGGTGTAACTGTAGACCAGAAATAGTAGTCTGGGGTGTAATTGTAGACCAGAAATAGTAGCCAGTGGTGTAACTGTAGACCAGAAACAATAATCAGGGGTGTAATTGTAGACCAGAAATAGTAGTAAGGGGTGTAACTGTAGACCAGAAATAGTAGTCTGGGGTGTAACTGTAGACCAGATATAGTAGTCAGGGGTGTAACTGTAGACCAGAAATAGTAGCCAGTGGTGTAACTGTAGACCAGAAATAGTAGTCTTGGGTGTAATTGTAGACCAGAAATAGTAGTCTGGGGTGTAACTGTAGACCAGAAACAATAATCAGGGGTATAACTGAAGACCAGAAATAGAAGTCAGTGGTGTAACTGTAGACCAGAAATAGTAGCCAGTGGTGTAACTGTAGACCAGAAATAGTAGCCAGTGGTGTAACTGAAGACCAGAAACAGTAGTCAGGGGTGTAACTGTAGACCAGAAATAGTAGCCAGTGGTGTAACTGTAGACCAGAAATAGTAGCCAGTGGTGTAACTGAAGACCAGAAACAGTAGTCAGGGGTGTAACTGTAGACCAGAAATAGTAGTCTGGAGTGTAACTGTAGACCAGAAATAGTAGTCAGGGGTGTAATTGTAGACCAGAAATAGTAGTCAGTGGTGTAACTGTAGACCAGAAATAGTAGCCAGTGGTGTAACTGTAGACCAGAAATAGTAGTCTGGAGTGTAACTGTAGACCAGAAATAGTAGTCAGTGGTGTAACTGTAGACCAGAAATAGTAGCCAGTGGTGTAACTGTAGACCAGAAATAGTAGCCAGTGGTGTAACTGAAGACCAGAAACAGTAGTCAGGGGTGTAACTGTAGACCAGAAATAGTAGTCTGGAGTGTAACTGTAGACCAGAAATAGTAGTCTTGGGTGTAATTGTAGACCAGAAATAGTAGTCAGTGGTGTAACTGTAGACCAGAAATAGTAGCCAGTGGTGTAACTGAAGACCAGAAACAGTAGTCAGGGGTGTAACTGTAGACCAGAAATAGTAGTCAGGGGTGTAAATGTAGACCAGAAATAGTAGTCTGGGGTGTAACTGTAGACCAGAAATAGTAGTCTGGGGTGTAACTGTAGACCAGAAATAGTAGTCTGGGGTGTAATTGTAGACCAGAAATAGTAGTCTGGGGTGTAACTGTAGACCAGAAATAGTAGTCTGGGGTGTAACTGTAGACCAGAAATAGTAGCCAGTGGTGTAACTGAAGACCAGAAACAGTAGTCAGGGGTGTAAATGTAGACCAGAAATAGTAGTCTGGAGTGTAACTGTAGACCAGAAATAGTAGTCAGGGGTGTAATTGTAGACCAGAAATAGTAGCCAGTGGTGTAACTGTAGACCAGAAATAGTAGCCAGTGGTGTAACTGAAGACCAGAAATAGTAGCCAGTGGTGTAACTGAAGACCAGAAACAGTAGTCAGGGGTGTAATTGTAGACCAGAAATAGTAGTCTTGGGTGTAATTGTAGACCAGAAATAGTAGCCAGTGGTGTAACTGTAGACCAGAAATAGTAGTCAGGGGTGTAATTGTAGACCAGAAATAGTAGCCAGTGGTGTAACTGTAGACCAGAAATAGTAGTCTGGGGTGTAACTGTAGACCAGAAATAGTAGTCAGGGGTGTAACTGTAGACCAGAAATAGTTTTGAAATTTGAAACTGGATTATGTGTGTAATTTTTTCTTGTGCCTAAGATGTCAGAGCATGAACACATGGTAAAATCACTCTAAAACAGGTACATGTACTTTACTACATTATCATGCCATTGCTATGTCTTTGTCAAAGTAAACATAATATTGAAACAAATTCAAATTACACCACACAAGTGTCTGCATTAATGTACCGTTAGTCTACTGTTAACATGCTATTTGTATTGCTAGATATCGGTTAGTGTGGCAATAATGTAGTAAATGTTTGAATCTTATATATGACCTTATGTGGACCAGACTCGACAAAATCCTGTTTCAATATGACCTTCCACTCAAAACAAGACTTATCACACCTTATTTGTATACATGTATTTGATTGGATTAAGAAAATCACATGCCTGACTGACAAAACATTGTGCTGTCCACTTTTGTTTGCATCACCCCTTAATTGGAGCCTCACTTTTAAGTTTGCAGGAGGAGTGGGTTTTTGATCACCAAACTTTAACCTAAACTTAAAAATTGTACAAAACCAAATGAGTAATCATACAATGAAAGTTGAGCTTCTGTTATAAAAGAATTTACCAAATAATACTAGTTTTGTTGACTGAAAATAAGAACTAAATGTTTTTTGTTTAATAAACAATTAATGGCCTTAGTCACCATGAAATGTGAAGGTTTATGTACATGACAGATTCATATTTCCCAAAAGCTATGTAAATCTCGGTTAATAGGATATTTGATGGTGAATGAACCTTCACATTTCACAACAACGGCCAAAAATACACAGTATTGATCAAGGAAGTGAAGTTAAACTTAATTAACCAGGAGAATTTTTTCAATATGAGTTCAGTTGGGGGGTTATGGTATACGGATTGTCTCCCTTGGGCAGTATACAGTGGATAGTAAATACATGTATTTGTTGTATTGAAGACAAAATTTACCTAAAAACTGAATCAAAAGGTGAATGGCTCAACTACAGGTAGAATTATCATGCAAAGAAAGCTTTCTCAAAATTTGGTCCAGCATTCTACCTGAAAAGTTTAGGATCTTTTCAAAGACAGCAAAGCCGACAAAAAGAGAAGAAAATTTGACATGATGTTTTTAATTGATTTATTTCATTAATAACAATAACATTATCGCAAGGGTGTTGTTTGGTAATCCAACAGTATACACTCTAGGCTTACATCAAATATATATGCTTAAATTCCACATTGAAAGACATGATATATCTACAATGAAAACGAGAGAAATTCCCCAAGGTTTGGTGTGAAGTCTCTTGAAGCAGAATTTCATGTTGATATTATATTGAACATAGTGAGGTCTGATTCAAAACCGACATAGTAAACTCTGATCGGGAAGTAACTAAAAACAAAAAACAACTTTTTTGTTAACATGAATATGAGGCTGGATATCATTTTAGCTTGGTCAGTGATGTCAGCAAATTATCACTTCAACCAACAGATTTGGAATAAAATCCTTCATTAAAACATTGCACAGCTGAAGGAGCCTAATGGAAATATATAAGTAATACACAGGCTTGCTGTGAAGGCTTTACAGTGATCTGTCCATACAAGTCATCAATAAATTTATAAATATTGGAGAAAACTCACAATGTTCTTCGTTACTGCATTACCAATACACCTTCTTTCTATAATCTTAGGTAGGAGTAAAAAATAAAACCTCCAGAATTATGATTTCCGTACATGGGTAAGATATATCTACTCTCAGGGCCAACAACAGCTCAGCTAGTAGAGTGTTTGACTTAGCAACATCAGTGAAGATCTGCAGTGTGTTGTTTGAAAAACTCCACTAAGGCTGTTTTGTATTTCTTAGGAAACTAAGAAACAGACTGTCTTGTGCTGTATCAGTTGTGTCCTTGGGACAGACACTCTACCCCTAATTGGCATGCAACAGGCCTCCAGCATACTGTTCAGTTAAGTAGCCACCAGCTACTACAGGGAAACTCTGCCTAAAAGTGACCAAGGCTGTTGATGCTGTGATAAACCAAGCAAATTAAATGGTATCATTTCTTATGTCTGTAGCTAAATATCAGTATCCTTTGCTGGATATCACAGGTAGTGTGTCAACAATTTCAGGGAAGGCCTCGTATGGCAGGATGTGTCAGCTTTCCATTCAGATGCTTCATCACAGAGATTTAGTCATGTATGGCCCTTCAAGTTCATATCCCAACTTCCTGTAATAGTTGCGAGTTCCCACACCTACAACAGAAACAAATAAAGGAGTTCCTAACATCATATACTTCCTGTAGTAATTACAAGTACCTACACCTACGACAGAAACACATAAAGGGGTTCCTAACATCATATACGTACTGTAGTAATTACAAGTTCCCACACCTACGACAGAAACACATAATGGAGTTCCTAACATCATATACTCTAACTATCAACCCTCAATTACAACAGTTTTCATTGACTTGTACAATTCAACATATCATCAATATCCCAGATTCCTCCCCCATTATCCCCTAGACCCGCAGTCTACATTCAGACTAATATTGTCATCAATGTGCTACTGCAGTTCAATTTGTTGACATTACTGCCTTGTAACTTACCTGAAATAACAGCTATTTTCTGGGACCCATGTTCCTCCTTGGCTATTCTTGCTGCCTCCTCCATCAAAAGCATACCAAAACCCTGAAATAGGTCATATAACATTTCAAATTAAACAAAAACTTTCAGGCCTGTCAGTGCATTCAGGGCTGCTGTGGAAGAAGAAATATTAACTTCTAATTGGTCATTTGGAAGAATAAAAGTCAACTTATTTGTGTATTTCTTATCGTTTTTTTTAAGGTAAATCAACCCATGTGACCCTGCTCCTTTTTGTCTGATACCACAACAATATGATTAAGACATGCCCTGTAGTTTTTGTGATGCTAATCCAGGGGAAAAAATTTGTTTTGTGAGGGTGAAAAAAAAACCCAGGAGAAATGTTTCCTAATAACAGAAATAGATAATACAAGAATCCAAAGTAAATGTAAGTCATTATGATAAAGAAGCACAAAGTCCAAGGGTATGATAAGTCACTCTTCTGATATTGACACAGAGGTTATTTGTTGGCACCCTGGGGTCCTATGATAAGTCCACCTTCTGATATTGACACAGAGGTTATTGATTGGCACCCTGGGCTTATTGCAAGATAAGTGAAGTGTAATGGAAACCAATAGTTTCCTATACCTGGTGTTGGAACTTTGTTGGGTCTCTACCATGGACTGGTACAGCTGTACCATAGACATGAAGTTCCCGTACAATAGAACATCCACCCTTCAGCTCTGCCCTGAATGTGTCTGCTGCACATCTCCGAAGTCGAAGCAAGCCAATGAGAATGTCCTGTTCAGGATCTTCATACGAAAGGAAAGTTTCCCATCCACCATTGGCTGTATAGTCTCGGCGGATCAGCTCTGCCTGTGGGAGAGAGTAACAAAACAGATTTTTTCAGTTTAGCTTAGTTTACATTTGGTCTGCAATTCAGTGCCACCAGGAAGATAGTTACAAATTATTTCAAACATCCAGTTTCCAAGGTATATGTTGTGTGAGCTAACCTCATTTTATGAAGAAAAACCTAAGTCTAAGATATTTGTCAAACCACAACTTATAACAACGCTATGTTTAGTGATGAGCTAATGCATAGCGAGATATAAAATTACATTTGTCAGAGTACAGCTCTGTACCTATAGTGTAAACCTAGAGTACATTTACAATCTTCACAGCATAACAGGTAATAATACAGTAAAAATGTGCTGGATTAACTGCATTACAACTGACCTCAAACGGTTTAACCTTGTGATGTATTTCTTGTATGCCGACTTCTCGTGTACGGACATCTCGACACTGGGAACCAAGGTCCTTCATACGGGCTAAGGCTAGTTCTCGAAGGTTGCCGTGCTCTACTCCAGAGCTAACCAGTGGCATGGGAATATCTCTGGACAGAGAAAAACAGTATGTTCATAGTACAGTCTACATATTATATACTTATTCATATGGTAGAAAAGCTGTAACAAAACTAATGTACCCAACTCATCAAGAAGGAAAAAAATTTGATAGTTTCAAACAAAAACAAACTCCAATCCTCAATGGCAGACTGTACTTATATCTATTCTGCTGTGACTGAAAATACCTCCTACTGTACATTTATAGCCTGTCTATTGACAAATGAATTAAAATACCAAAACATTGCACACAGCATTTCAAAATGCTTTTCCCAGCATACTATTGCAATTTGATTTTTTATATTACATAAACAATATTAAGTTTCTAAGATAATTTTTTGTAGACATAATGGATTAAAACAAATTTCAAAACAATTTTCTACATAATTGTATTTCTCACAATTAGATAATTTCTAGTATGTGATGAAAATCCTTACTTTGTGAAAGACCAGACTATGAGATATATTGAGAATTTAAGGTATATATGTACAAGCACAAGTACTCAACACTCTTAAATTTATTGAAATTAGAAAATCTAACTCAGAATAAATAAGACAATGTTGTCTATGATTTAGATAACAAAAAAAACATACAAAAAAATAAATTATTAATAAGTATGGGACTGCAATTATGTAAGTTACCTCTGTACTCTGTAGACCCTGGTCCACGGTGGCACTAATGCCAGGATCCTAGCAACTAGATCCACCAGTCCACTTGGGGGATAACTCTTGTATCGTCCCGTTTTCCACAACTCATACAGACCTATCACATAAGTATAAGAATGAAGATGTTCTAAGAAATTAATTAAGTTTTGATAAATGTGAAGAAACAATTACCTGTGTTCAGAGAAGTCTTTTGACAACATTTATGTATGGTCAAATTCTACATAGGAGTGACAGCACTTACCAGTGCCCCTGATCACCAGGGTAGGATATATCTTTAAACCATCAGCTCTGAATGCAGGATTTTCAAAAAATTCCTGCAAAAAGTTAAAAAATAAAATTACAAATTAAAGAAATTTCTGTATTTTGAAAAGAAATCAGAAAGAAATCAAATGAAGTAAGGTAATAGAAATGTTCTCCATGCCTAAAAGTTCGTTTATCACAGATCACTGCCCATATGAGGTAGTTACCTATACCGCTCGGTGGAAACACCAGTCTCAAGTGTACTTATAAGCATGCAGAAAGTAGGTGGGAACATCATCAAATCTACCCATTTCTATGTTCAATATACTTACAATAAACTGCTCTATGTCTCTCTCCCAGCTAACATTAGGTAAATCTGGCATCATGTGTGCGACAACCTTGAAGCCTGCGTCCTTAGACATCCTGAAGGACTCACACACAGCTTTTACAGTGTGACCTCTGAAACACAAAATTTCATTCGGTACAGAATCCCATCCAACTTTTAGTCTGAATTCTATTTTTTGATGTGGAAAATAACATGGTTCAACCGGATAATAATGCTGTACCTTTGCCATCCTAAAAAGTCTACGGTTTTGACCAGCTAGCCATTTAATTAGTATCAGCCATCAAACATGACCAAGTTTGAACATATGACCTCAAAAGTCTGACCTGTCATAAATAAGTGATGTGTTGAATAAGATAATTAATAAATGGGACTATTTCAAACCTACCAACTGATAATGTTGATGCACTTTAACATTCATGTTGTTGTGGGAGCACTTAATTTCAAAAATGAATAGACACAAATGTGTTTCTCAGAGTCTGAGTGAGCAAAATTAAAACAGCAGACAAAAGTTTCCAAGGATACACTGAACTGATTTGGTGAAAACATGAAAATAGGTAGCCATGAACATTAGCAGGTTTACCAAAAATAAGGAAAATGTAACCAAAATTGTTAAATATTGAGAGCATCATGCTGGGTGACATGTGATCTTAATATTTACTAGTTTCTCTCAGTGATATAAAACCTTGATATTTACCTGTTCATCAGTGACAAATAAAACATATATATTTACCTGTTCATCTGAGTGATATAAAATCTTCATATTTACCTGTTTATCTGGGATATAATATGTTGACTTTTAGCATTTTATCTGATAGATATAAAACTGATATTTACCTGTTTATCTGAGTAATATCAAATCTTGATATTTACCTCTTCGTTTGAGTGATATAAAACTTGATATTAACATGTTGGTACAAGAGACATTAGAACTATATAATTACCTGTTGGTGTCCCTGGCAACATCCTCATACACACTTTGTACTCCGATCTCTTGTCTTGTACATCCATACTTCAGCATGTCACTAAACAAATGGTAGCATTGTCATGATGAACCAACACTATAAAGTTTGATTAAAATCTGTCAAAGAATGAAGTTGCTAGGTGCTCGGGCAAAGTTTTTTTTTTCTATCCTTTACTTATTAATGGAAAGTAAATCTGAGATTTTTATTTCACCTCGAGACCATGTTAAGCTTAATCTGGAAAGCTGCAATGTTTGACATTTCAATAAATCCACATGTATACAAAAGTCTGCAACAATACCATCTACAGTCAAACTTGACAGCATTTATACATAGGTTGCCTGTCTATAATGGCCACTTTTCTTTACTCCTTTAACCGGCCTCTGTAGACAAGTTTGATTGTACTTATACTCTTGTACTTATTCAACCAGGACAGTTAATTCCAAAAGACAAAGAAGTTCATGTAAAGTTTGGTAGGTAAAGAAGGCTGCCTTACATTGCGATGGTCATGAAGTTGTCCTTCACTGACTATATATAATTGTACTGTATACAAACATAATATAGTCCACTTACTTACCTGATGTGTTTCCTCAGACAATAATCAGGACGTGTTTCTATAGTAATGCCAATACATTTTGACTTGCTCTTCTCTGAGTACCTGAAATATAATATATGACTGAAATGACTACTGATCAATCCTGGAGACTAGCGTTAAAAAAAAGCAAAAATAAAACTGAGGGTCCAATTGGGGGCTAGTGTTTAGTGGGATAAAGTGAGTCAGAGTTAAATCAGGGGACTAGTGTTTAGTGGGATAAAGTGAGTCAGAGTTAAATCAGGGGACTAGTGTTTAGTGGGATAACGTGAGTCAGAGTTAAATCAAGGGACTAGTGTTTAGTGGGATAAAGTGAGTCAGAGTTAAATCAGGGGACTAGTGTTTAGTGGGATAAAGTGAGTCAGAGTTAAATCAGGGGACTAGTGTTTAGTGGGATAAAGTGAGTCAGAGTTAAATCAAGGGACTAGTGTTTAATGGGATAAAGTGAGTCAGAGTTAGATCAGGCAACTAGTGTTTAGTGGGATAAAGTGAGTCAGAGTTATATAAGTGTTTAGTGGGATAAAGTGAGTCAGAGTTAAATCAAGGGACTAGTGTTTAATGGGATAAAGTGAGTCAGAGTTAAATCAGGGGACTAGTGTTTAGTGGGATAAAGTGAGTCAGAGTTAAATCAGGGACTAGTGTTTAGTGGGATACAGTGAGTCAGAGTTAAATCAGGGGACTAGTGTTTAATGGGATAAAGTGAGTCAGAGTTAAATCAGGGGACTAGTGTTTAGTGGGATAAAGTGGATCAGAGTTAAATCAGGGGACTAGTGTTTAGTGGGATAAAGTGAGTCAGAGTTAAATCAGGGACTAGTGTTTAGTGGGATAAAGTGAGTCAGAGTTAAATCAGGGGACTAGTGTTTAATGGGATAAAGTGAGTCAGAGTTAAATCAAGGGACTAGTGTTTAGTGGGATAAAGTGAGTCAGAGTTAAATCAGGGGAGTAGTATTAGTGGGATAAAGTGAGTCAGAGTTAAATCAGGGGACTAGTGTTTAATGGGATAAAGTGAGTCAGAGTTAAATCAGGGGACTAGTGTTTAATGGGATAAAGTGAGTCAGAGTTAAATCAAGGGACTAGTGTTTAGTGGGATAAAGTGAGTCAGAGTTAAATCAGGGGAGTAGTATTAGTGGGATAAAGTGAGTCAGAGTTAAATCAGGGGACTAGTGTTTAGTGGGATAAAGTGAGTCAGAGTTAAATCAGGGGACTAGTGTTGTTTAGTGGGATAAAGTGAGTCAGAGTTAAATCAGGGACTAGTGTTTAGTGGGATAAAGTGAGTCAGAGTTAAATCAGGGACTAGTGTTTAGTGGGATAAAGTGAGTCAGAGTTAAATCAGGGACTAGTGTTTAGTGGGATAAAGTGAGTCAGAGTTAAATCAGGGAACTAGCGTTTAGTGGGATAAAGTGAGTCAGAGTTAAATCAGGGACTAGTGTTTAGTGGGATAAAGTGAGTCAGAGTTAAATCAGGGACTAGTGTTTAGTGGGATAAAGTGAGTCAGAGTTAAATCAGGGAACTAGCGTTTAGTGGGATAACGTGAGTCAGAGTTACATAAGTGTTTAGTGGGATAAAGTGAGTCAGAGTTAAATCAGGGGACTAGTGTTTAGTGGGATAAAGTGAGTCAGAGTTAAATCAGGGGACTAGTGTTGTTTAGTGGGATAAAGTGAGTCAGAGTTAAATCAGGGGACTAGTGTTTAGTGGGATAAAGTGAGTCAGAGTTAAATCAGGGACTAGTGTTTAGTGGGATAAAGTGAGTCAGAGTTAAATCAGGGACTAGTGTTTAGTGGGATAAAGTGAGTCAGAGTTAAATCAGGGACTAGTGTTTAGTGGGATAAAGTGAGTCAGAGTTAAATCAGGGACTAGTGTTTAGTGGGATAAAGTGAGTCAGAGTTAAATCAGGGACTAGTGTTTAGTGGGATAAAGTGAGTCAGAGTTAAATCAGGGAACTAGCGTTTAGTGGGATAACGTGAGTCAGAGTTACATAAGTGTTTAGTGGGATAAAGTGAGTCAGAGTTAAATCAGGGGACTAGTGTTTAGTGGGATAAAGTGAGTGAGAGTTAAATCAGGAGCCTAGCGTTTAGCTGTTATTTGTAAATGAGGTTTAAATAAGGGAACAAGTATTAAGAGGGTATACAGGAGGGTGGGGAAAATCCGGAAACTGAGTGAGGGCTAAATCAAGAGGTTAATGTTTTGAGAAAAAGCATGAGTGAAGCTTTAATCTATTGGTCAGTAGTTAGATAAAGGGGGAAGAAGTGTGTGTGCTAAAAAAAGGGGGGGAATGTCTAAGAATAGAAACACCAGTGAAGACTAAATCACAAAGAGGGCTAATATTTAGAGTGGAACACAAATATGAGCCAAATCTGAGGCAGGTTAAGTATGGTGAAACATGAGCGTAGGCCAAGGAGGTGGTGTTTCACCAGAGGGGAAAAGTAAATGTCAGCCGATTTCAGGAGAAGGGACCAGTCATTACTTACTTGACTGCTTCTTCAACACTACTACTGGTGTGACCAGATAAAGCATCATGGAGATTCCTTATGAAGTAGTCTCGGTAATCATCAGGAAGGCTCATAAATGTTCCACCCATCACAATAAACTCCACCTTGTCCACACTGTGACCCAGTGACATCAGCTGTATCAATGTAATAAGGGGATCTTATAAAAGTTCCAATATTGTATAATGCTTATAGAATCACTATGTTCCTTGATCAAAAAGTGAGATAGTATGGGAATAGGTTTGAGATTCTTTTTACACCAGGACTAACTGGACAAATGAAATAAAATATTGCAGAAAGTACAAACTAGAGAAAACTTGTGAAATAAATATGCCTCTTTCCCCGCATGAAATAGCAGTAGGGTCCAATCTTTTAACTAAACAACATCAATTTTATATGATACTAAATGTATCTTCAAATAAGTCCCCTTCCTACTGTAAAAGTTTAGTAATACATTGAGAGGAGGATTAGCTGTGATCTACTTCTAAAGCGTTCAAAATTGATGATTCTGCAACCATGAAGAAGGGGGCTTATTTGTTGGCAGGGCTTATTTTGCAAATAAATGTGGTATGTAACATAATGTACTGGGTACATGTTGTAACATTAATCATTAACTGGAACATTTTGAATATTATCACTGCGACATACACATACAACAATGTATATCACAGACCTACACGTATTAAGCTTACTTGGAAAACACCAGATGCAAAATGTTTCATTTTATGTCATGTTGTGTAACATAAGCTCAGTAAGTAAATTATCAACACCAAGATTCAGGGAGTCCTGAGAAACCCTCAGTAAACTGTAATACTTTCATCTCAAGTTCAACTGATCTTTTTATTGGTGATTGTAATTGCTGTTAGAACTTTTCACCGTAGATATACCCTACACCAGTACATACTGGTGTTGTCAATGTTGTCAATGGTTTTACTTTTGCAGACTGAATAAATGTCAAAATGTGGGAGAGCTAATACAATGGAGATAAGGACAATAACACAATCAAACAATATATGTCATTAGGAATTTTTCATTAATATATAACTGACATATGAAAATGTACCAGACAAAACCTTTTGTAAATCTACGTTTGTACTGTTAAGATATTGATATGATTTTACTACATCCCTGTCAGCCATGACACTGTACCAATGAATGTTGTCTTTCTAAGCCATGTCTTGATTGTACTCGATGTCTGTAAGTAAATCTACCTGATGTCATGTCTGTAACTAAGTCTATCTGATGTCATGTCTGTAACTAAGTCTACCTGATGTCATGTCTGTAACTAAGTCTACCTGATGTCATATCTGTAACTAAGTCTACCTGATGTCATATCTGTAACTAAGTCTACCTGATGTCATGTCTGTAACTAAGTCTACCTGATGTCATGTCTGTAACTAAGTCTACCTGATGTCATGTCTGTAACTAAGTCTACCTGATGTCATATCTGTAACTAAGTCTACCTGATGTCATATCTGTAACTAAGTCTACCTGATGTCATGTCTGTAACTAAGTCTACCTGATGTCATGTCTGTAACTAAGTCTACCTGATGTCATGTCTGTAACTAAGTCTAGCTGATGTCATGTCTGTAACTAAGTCTAGCTGATGTCATGTCTGTAACTAAGTCTACCTGATGTCATATCTGTAACTAAGTCTACCTGATGTCATGTCTGTAACTAAGTCTACCTGATGTCATGTCTGTAACTAAGTCTACCTGATGTCATGTCTGTAACTAAGTCTAGCTGATGTCATGTCTGTAACTAAGTCTTCCTCATGTCATGTCTGTAACTAAGTCTATCTGATGTCATGTCTGTAACTAAGTCTACCTGATGTCATGTCTGTAACTAAGTCTACCTGATGTCATGTCTGTAACTAAGTCAACCTGTTGTCATGTCTGTAACTAAGTCTACCTGATGTCATGTCTGTAACTAAGTCTACCTGATGTCATATCTGTAACTAAGTCAACCTGTTGTCATGTCTGTAACTAAGTCAACCTGTTGTCATGTCTGTAACTAAGTCTTCCTCATGTCATATCTGTAACTAAGTCTACCTAATGTCATGTCTGTAACTAAGTCTACCTGATGTCATGTCTGTAACTAAGTCTACCTGATGTCATGTCTGTAACTAAATCTACCTGATGTCATGTCTGTAACTAAGTCTAGCTGATGTCATGTCTGTAACTAAGTCTAACTGATGTCATGTCTGTAACTAAGTCTAGCTGATGTCATGTCTGTAACTAAGTCTAACTGATGTCATGTCTGTAACTAAGTCTACCTGATGTCATGTCTGTAACTAAGTCTAACTGATGTCATGTCTGTAACTAAGTCTACCTGATGTCATATCTGTAACTAAGTCTACCTGATGTCATGTCTGTAACTAAATCTACCTGATGTCATGTCTGTAACTAAGTCTAGCTGATGTCATGTCTGTAACTAAGTCTACCTGATGTCATGTCTGTAACTAAGTCTACCTGATGTCATGTCTGTAACTAAGTCTAGCTGATGTCATGTCTGTAACTAAGTCTAGCTGATGTCATGTCTGTAACTAAGTCTACCTGATGTCATATCTGTAACTAAGTCTACCTGATGTCATGTCTGTAACTAAGTCTACCTGATGTCATGTCTGTAACTAAGTCTACCTGATGTCATGTCTGTAACTAAGTCTAGCTGATGTCATGTCTGTAACTAAGTCTTCCTCATGTCATGTCTGTAACTAAGTCTATCTGATGTCATGTCTGTAACTAAGTCTACCTGATGTCATGTCTGTAACTAAGTCTACCTGATGTCATGTCTGTAACTAAGTCAACCTGTTGTCATGTCTGTAACTAAGTCTACCTGATGTCATGTCTGTAACTAAGTCTACCTGATGTCATATCTGTAACTAAGTCAACCTGTTGTCATGTCTGTAACTAAGTCAACCTGTTGTCATGTCTGTAACTAAGTCTTCCTCATGTCATATCTGTAACTAAGTCTACCTAATGTCATGTCTGTAACTAAGTCTACCTGATGTCATGTCTGTAACTAAGTCTACCTGATGTCATGTCTGTAACTAAATCTACCTGATGTCATGTCTGTAACTAAGTCTAGCTGATGTCATGTCTGTAACTAAGTCTAACTGATGTCATGTCTGTAACTAAGTCTACCTGATGTCATGTCTGTAACTAAGTCTAACTGATGTCATGTCTGTAACTAAGTCTAGCTGATGTCATGTCTGTAACTAAGTCTAACTGATGTCATGTCTGTAACTAAGTCTACCTGATGTCATGTCTGTAACTAAGTCTAACTGATGTCATGTCTGTAACTAAGTCTACCTGATGTCATATCTGTAACTAAGTCTACCTGATGTCATGTCTGTAACTAAATCTACCTGATGTCATGTCTGTAACTAAGTCTAGCTGATGTCATGTCTGTAACTAAGTCTACCTGATGTCATGTCTGTAACTAAGTCAACCTGTTGTCATGTCTGTAACTAAGTCTTCCTCATGTCATATCTGTAACTAAGTCTACCTAATGTCATGTCTGTAACTAAGTCTACCTGATGTCATGTCTGTAACTAAGTCTACCTGATGTCATGTCTGTTACAAAGTCTACCTCATGTCATGTCTGTAACTAAGTCTTCCTGATGTCATGTCTGTAACTAAGTCTACCTGATGTCATGTCTGTAACTAAATCTACCTGATGTCATGTCTGTAACTAAGTCTAGCTGATGTCATGTCTGTAACTAAGTCTAACTGATGTCATGTCTGTAACTAAGTCTACCTGATGTCATGTCTGTAACTAAGTCTAACTGATGTCATGTCTGTAACTAAGTCTAGCTGATGTCATGTCTGTAACTAAGTCTAACTGATGTCATGTCTGTAACTAAGTCTACCTGATGTCATGTCTGTAACTAAGTCTAACTGATGTCATGTCTGTAACTAAGTCTAACTGATGTCATGTCTGTAACTAAGTCTACCTGATGTCATGTCTGTAACTAAATCTACCTGATGTCATGTCTGTAACTAAGTCTAACTGATGTCATGTCTGTAACTAAGTCTACCTGATGTCATGTCTGTAACTAAGTCTAACTGATGTCATGTCTGTAACTAAGTCTAACTGATGTCATGTCTGTAACTAAGTCTAACTGATGTCATGTCTGTTACTAAGTCTACCTGATGTCATGTCTGTAACTAAATCTACCTGATGTCATGTCTGTATATAAATATACCTGATGTTGCATCTGTAACCAGTAACTATATCCTACCCAACATTGTACCAGTAAGTAAACTTACCTGTTCTACTCGATGTCTTGTCTGTAAGTAAGGATTATATCGAGCGCGGATGGCTCTCATTGATGTTGGCTGTGAAAGTAAAAAAATATATCATTCTTATACTGAGGTACATGTTCTGGTATTTTTTTTTTTCAAACTACAGTATTGACCAATGAGAACAATGCATGTCTCTTTATGACAAAGAAATCTATTGTCTTATTTTATTTGCTTTTATTTTTGTAATATTCAAATGATGAAAGGTGAACACTCACTCTCATAATGCTCCTTAGTTGCTTACCATATAGTTTTTATTAATTTATGGAGATGTCCATTCAAAATAAATGGCACAGTCTTGTTACATGGTGAAACCAGCATTACAAAAGAAAATGCTGCTGAATTCAAAATGTTCACGCAAATGCTTTTACTACTTTTTCTTTACAGTGTAACAAATACAAAATAGGAGAGTTTTCCCCTGAATAACAAAACACTTAACTTCCACTAATGAATACATTGTTTTATTTTTTGTAATTTTCTAGCTGTGTACAGACTGTAGTCTGAAGTTGTACCTCATATCCAGTGTAGGACTGAGTAGAGTACTCGAAGTCAGAGTCAGGACCTCCAGGACAGTATCTACAATAGAGACAAGATCAAATCTTAAAAGTTAATGACATTAAAAGAAAAGGAAGCCATACATTAACTTCAAAAACACCCTACTATTCAACAAAAATTGAAATTACATGCACATGCATTCACAGATACATAATATATCAAGGAATACTTATTTTAACAGTTACATAACTCATACATGTCTTACCACTTTGTGATGAGTACAAACACATTCAACAGATACATTAATAATGTCCTGAGTCGCCATTAACGTGTATGTCTATCATGGTGTTGTGATACTTACACACAGATGTTGCCTGTCATTGCAATGTGAGGACATCTATGTGGTTTACACATGACTGCTACAACAGCTATCTATAAATATACAAGTTCACATGTAAAACATACATATCATGATAAATAAATTGTTAAATACTTGTAATTGTCAGGATAACTTTTGCAGTAAAAGACAGAATAATAATCATAGCTTCTGTGCTCTACCAGTTATATATATAAAATATGAAGGTAAAAAAAAAAAAAAAAACAGGAAACAAGATGACAATTGAAAGATATGAGTCCACTATTCATCATCTCCCTTCAATGCATTGTCATTGTACAGACATTGGGGAGGAATTAAATAATCAATCATTTGTACCCTGATGTAGTAAGGCAATAACAAGGCATTATAAACCTTGCTAGATTGAGAAATACATTTCACGTAAAAGAAATATTGTATATTTTGATTCTGATAAGTTGATAACAATAATAAACAAAACACAAATATAACTGTAGGACAAACTGACATCCTGGTATAGCCATATCAATCATTGTATGACATTTGTTCAAAATCCTTTCAGAAGTGATGATGCTTATTTCAAGAATCAATGCTTAAATGGATTATGTCCCCTGCCTTCACCACAGCAACGCGAAAAAAGAATTTTTTTAGGTATTTTCATACCTATGTGAAGTTTAAATTTATCAAAATCAAGAAAAGAAATGGATCAGAGTCACTAGAGAGATGAGATACATGGGGACCAAGTACATTATGTACATATATTTAGGAGCAGTGACCAAAAGAGACGCAACTGGAGTCCTAGATTCAATATTAACAGCTTATTCATACAATACAAAAAAATAATTTAGCCAAATAGGATAATTCAAAAGTGGTGGTTAGAAGCAGCAATCTTTTTAAATGATAGATAAAATAAGCATCTGATTAACAAAAGTGCAGGCGAACATTTATGGCAGACAATATATGCCTGTCCAGCTGAGAAACAGAAATAAAGTCCACAAACAAGCTGTGTAACATAACTTACTCCACTGGCTGTTCTCACTGGCTTGGCCTTGAGTTTTGGTAACAGGATCTGTAGAAAAAGATAACATTTGTTACAATATAACCACTGTAAGTTATCAAAATGTGTCTTCATTTCATACAACAAATGATATTGGTGGTACTCCAAAGTCTTTAATAAATGCAATCTGCCATTCCAGAAAATAATTCTTTACTTTTTGGAAAAGAAATTTGGGACTCATGAATGTATACATGTATTTACAAAAAACAACCTAATGTTTCTGACATTCCATAAAATCTGCCTATCACTAGGATAAGTCATGCTGAAGTATTAGTACTAGGTATATACCTTTTTGTGCTGAGGGGGAACTGCTGCAATAATATCAACCAATCTTGGTTGACTTGACAATCCATATTTGCTGGATATTCTGGACTTTATTCTGTTGATAACAAGCAATTACAGTATAGTGAGAAACTAAAATAATAGATTGAATGTAAAAAATGCAGTTGATTGATGACTATATAAAGTAAGCAATATCAACTGCTTCTATGTATATACAAGACTCTACAATATTATTATGATATTAAACAAAGTACCATAAATGATCCTCTCTGTTATTTAAACTGTCAAATTTTCAATAATATTCCAAATGATAAGAAATGCATTACCTATTTAGGTTGACATCTTTTCCATCCTCATGGGCTTGAAGTAACTCTTTCACAATTTCCGAAACAGTTAAAATCATCAGCTCCTCTCTAGTTGCTCCCGGCAGGATTGCTGCAATTTTTGTTGTAATAGACATGCAAATTATTAATTCATGAAGATGATATCTTCAAATTTCTTTGAAAACATCATTAGCTAAAGTGAATGAATGAAACAGCATTCATTCTGCAACTACAATAGATTTGATTAACTACCCAATAAAGCAATACGACAGTGATAAAATCTGTCTCTGATGGAACTGTAGTTCATTTGACTTCAACTTCTTCTCCTTTATTGGTCATGATACTAATTTAAGTGATGAACAATTTGTCTATTATATCCTGAACTGATTACAAAAGGTGTCTTTCTATATTTATTTTGATGTCAATATAGTTATAAGATAAACGGAATACATAGTTAGTATCATAAGTAAACTTGTATATCAACAATTCTAGTCATGCAGCTGGATTTTTTATATTCCCACCTTTTATATTAAGGTTATCCTGGTTACACAATGCTGAGAGGATGCTCTCAATCTGATGCTCACTAAAGCCTTCAAGTCTATTTTTCCTTTATTTACTAAATATCAATAGAATGGTATTTTCTACATACAAAATGTACAGTTTGTGAATTTAGGAACAATACATTCTTTCTGAAGTCTTTATATGAAATCTTAGGTCTTAATACATCCTACACCAGCTGTATAATTAGTTCTGTCTCCTCTCTTCAAAAGGAACAATCACCATCATGTGTTTAACCAATCCTGGTATCTTACATGAATGAGTATATGATTTGCATTTAGGCCATAAAAATTTAATCAACTATATACAAGACAGAAGTTTAGTGTTCCTATAGCTATGGTGGTATGAAAAATGACATTTATAGTTATGATTATGAAGTCTTCTGCTACTATTTCTATCTATAAGACAAAATCTATCAAACCACCTCTTAATATTTCTTGATATTTTCCTCATTTAACAGCAATCCGCCATTTATATGAATAATTATGCTATGGTTGCATTGATAACTAATTCATGTTCAGTTTGGTGGAGTTATTATCCAAAGCTGCTTTTATTATAATACATTCTTCCAGCTTGTGGATAATAAACCGATCAGCCATATAATGCTCTCCACATTTTAAGGGGCTGGTAGATGAAAATACATTAGTACAAGCTCATGTTTAGATAAATCCAATAGTAGATTGCAATTGTATTACCTGTGATTTTCCACTGGAACACGCCAATTTGCTTTAGAGTGAAGTATTTTTGAAAGCTAAATACACGATAGTCATATTCTAATCATATATTTTTGTGCCATAATGTTAAACCGTTTTAAAATAATTTTGGCGTATACCAAGGATTTTCCAACAAAGTATTGATATATAATGGTAATGTCAGTATACTTTTTTGCATAATTATTGGTTTGGGTGAATTGAACGGGAAAGTGTCTTTTATGTAGTTACTCAGATATCAAAAAGCACTTTATGACTTATCAATAAATTGATTTGATTGAAGTGAAATGATTATTAGTATAATCTGAGTTGAAAGGATGTTAGAGAGTCATTATCAGTCTCACTATAACTGCTGTGTGATGCCATAATCATTTTAAGTATGGTATCAAACATGAAAAAAATTATACATACTTCTGTTTTTGTTCTTCCCCATGTCTGACTAACTTCAATGTTATCAACTGGATGAAAACATGATAATAACTTCAATGTTTATGGTGCAATATGTATCCACATGTACATTTAATGTGGAACACAGACAAATTCACGCAGTTGACTTTAGATGAATTACTAACGACAAGATAAATCAGGTTGTGTGACCTTCACCTCAAATATTTTCGTATCAGCATTCAAAAGATTTTCAAAAAGTAATTTGGATTCAAATTTTGTCAACAAAAATTAAAAAAAAAACACAATTAATGACAGCACAGTACCTATGTACGGTAAATGAAGATAAAATCGAAACTAATGCTAAAAGACAAATATTTTTTACGTTACCCATGTAATAAAATTCCGGGTTACAAGTTACACATGTTCTAAATCTACAAATTATCAATGTAATAAATAACTGTTGTACACAGTGAATTACCGATCTTTTATTTGTGAGATGGAACCGTTAACGTCCAAAATCAATATTGGAAAATCATTTTCTAAATTCTTACATTGGGATTTTTTTTTCATCTGCACCGTACGTAAAAGGAAGTTGACACGAAAACAGCAGTAAAGTGAAAGGTGAAAAAATAATCGTTAATGCCACTTGAATCGAGTCGATACATTGGATTTAAATGATTGCAGAAGAAGAGAACAAAGATAGAAGTACTTTAAATCTGTCCATGGTGTAGTCCTTGTGAAGAAATCAATCAATTTTATGCCTGACACGTACGTTTGAAGTTTGTTTACATTTTATTTCTTGTGTTTGTCATCTCTGATCTTATTGTGTGGCCATTATTTAATTTGGAAATTGACTTTACTTTCACAATTCACCTGCTTCATTTAATCAAACGCCTGATTCTCTTTGAATAGCTTAATCGTGGCAAGTGCATGAAGTATTCTGTCGATATGCACAATGAAACAAACGTAATTTTATACCAAATGTGGCAAAAATAATGACAAAATATGCTTAAGAATCGACAGGTATACCCAGATACAGCAAGGTTTTGTAATATGAAGAAGTGTTTGGAATGAAGTTTGATTGGGGATGGAATATTCTGTGTTTCATTTGCGTATTTCATATTATGAGTTTATCCTCCTCCTCCTCCTCATCCTCATCATCATCCTCATCATCATTCATCATCATCATTATTTGAAGAGTGAACAGAATGTGATCAACCAATCCAGGTTCCGATTGAGTTGTCTTGTTATACCAAATTTGCGATAAAGTGAAAATTATGAGACAAATACAAACAATTGACAAATATTAGTTTGAATACAGTACAAACATAACTGCTGCAGTAATAGACCCTAAACAAATATTTACTTACACTTGCTACATAATATGACCAGGTCATATACGTCCCTGATATGACCTTTGTGACCAATCCTTAGGCCAGACTATATTCACATAGGGAAATAGAGGAAAAAAGAAGTAGAATTATTGAAACTAAGTAATAAGATATCAACAGACTGGGTCAAAAATGAAAGAGAAATAATGTGAAAGAATTAGGATGCCAAATCTATTTATGTTTTGTATTTTTCAATCATGAGATATCAGTTGATAGATTGATACTTGCCAAGTTCATGCCTCTTTGAATGCAAAACATATTTGATAATGTTCACAGAGATTGGCAATGAAAGCTCTTTAAATGGACTGGATTGCCTGCATCTTTTCTGTGTCATATTTTAGAATAATTTGATTCAATATATTGTATTGATCCATGTTTTAATAAGTACCACACTTTTGACCATAAAGTGAAAATTAACAGTAAAAAAATATATAAGGTAATAATTTGTTTTGGTAATACAGATAAAATAAAAATAAAAAGGAAATAAAATGTGCTTCGGTCCAAATTGGTTAAAAACTTCACTCTCAAACTAGTTTTGTGAATTATTGGTTTCAACTCATCAATGTATATGTTTGTTAAGTTTTGTTGAGATTTTAGTTGTTTTAACATCCATATACATTCCTGAAGGGAAGTTTTGTATGCTAGGATAATTTCAAAACCAATCTATATGTCATAAAGTTCACAGCACTTTTTTTTAAAGTTCCAGCAAGTCAGTTGTCCAATGCTGATCACCTGTGCAATTTGTTAGTTTTGTTGGGTTCTATTTCTAACTACTTTGAATTTACAAATTCAATATACCATAAGGTACTTAATGTGCTTGCTATTATCTGATTTTTGGTGTTTTCATACTTCTAACTTAGGGTCTTCAGGTGCAGAGCATTTTAAATTACTTTTCATGATCATCCTTTGTCAAAAGGAACATTGGTCGACTTATAATTATATCATTAAGCCGTGCTGGTTTTGATTTATGGCAAATTGAAAATGGCCAAGTGGTCTTATTGTTTATGTCATAAATTTTACTGAGTAATATTAAATTATGTAACATCAGGAAAATATTATATAATATGAAATACTGATCAGGATGTTAAACAAAGTATTGATCATGATATAATACAAGATATTGATCAGGATATAATACAAGGTACTGATCAGGATGTAATACAAGATATTGATCAGGATGTAATACAAGGTACTGATCAGGATGTAATACAAGGTACTGATCAGGATGTAATACAAGGTATTGATCAGGATGTAATACAAGATATTGATCAGGATGTAATACAAGGTATTGATCAGGATGTAATACAAAGTATTGATCATGATGTAATACAAGGTACTGAACAGGATGTAATACAAAGTATTGATCATGATGTAATACAAGATATTGATCAGGTTGTAATACAAGGTATTGATCAGGATGTAATATGAAGTACTGAGCAGGATGTAATACAAGGTACTGATTGGGATGTAACACAAGGTACTGATCGGGATGTAATACAAGGTATTGATCGGGATGTAATACAAGGTACTGATCAGGATGTAATACAAGGTACTGATCAGGATGTAATGGTCCAGATGTAATATGATGAACTACTCAAAATATAATGTTTATGTATGATCATATTGTCTTTAAAAAAGATGTAATAAGTAACGAAGTAGCTAAAATCTGGTAAGACTACCATATAAATGATAGAAGACAGTCATAAGGTTTAAACTAGTGGTAAGTTGGAACTGAACTTTGGGCAAATCAGATCCGATAAGGTATTAGATCAAGGTATTCCATGAGAAAATGTTGCGATCTACAGAATATGGGTATGAAAAATAGACTCAGGAAGAAGTAAGAAATTGGTTACTGGATGTACTTTTATATGGGAATTACTTTATACATTCAGGTCAGGATTGTTAGTTCATGATAACTTTACCCAAAACCACAATATTTACAGAATTGATTTATTAAATGACTTATTTGTGTCTTCAATCTTTCAGTCCAACCATGATGATGAAATGACGGCTGAATTTATTAGACACTGGGAACCAGTTATCCCTCAGCATAGTTCCTGAAGTTCCATACATCTCTGACGAGGAGACTCACAGAGAACATGTATTGCTTACAATGGCTGATTCCAGTGCTGCTCATCCCGAAGCCCCTGAGTCCTGCACTTGTGTATAATCAGTCCATGTTTATAGTGCTTTATTTAACTGGATTCTTTCTGGAGAGGAAGCCCTGTACAATCTGTAGTGTCGTCTTTGTGGCTGCAATGTTCCTCATCTGTTACAGTTGTTCAGGAAACTGTTTGTTCTGGCATTGTCCGGAGGAATCGTGTGATCCGACGGGATGTGGTACCTGAACTGACCAGCAGGGTTATGGAATTGTGTTTGAACATGATCAACAGCACTGTATGATTACAGAGAAATGCTGTTGTTTCTTAAATATGTGCATTGTCATATAATGTATATATGGTAGAAATGTTCCAAGGAGTATTTTTATGTTCTCACCATTTTATACATGAACGTAACGCAAAGCCAAGGCCGGGGCTATTCAAGTACCGATTAGTAGGACAGATTCATATGGGACACTGGATGTAAAATTTGATGTATACTTTTTATGAGAAACAGTATCATGATTTACCCATTATTTATACTGTTTGAACATCTCTTTGATGACAACTGGCAGATTTTATTAATAAGGACCTATCTTAATTTGAAAATTTGTAATGCATTCACCAAAGTTAATTTTTTTTAATATATAATGATGTATCAACATGTAACAGTGAAAACCTCTAGTATTGCTGTGATCCTATAGATACATGTATATAGCTGTATATTGAATGTACTGTAGTTTGTTCAGCTATGTCCTTAATATATGATTACTGCATTAGTGTATCATTTTGGGATAAATGTGTCTTTCTGGTGGTTTTATCAAGGAATAAAATTCAGCATGGTATGATATTTGGAACGAATCACAAAGCTGTCCACAAAATAAATGTAGAATGGTGATTCAGTAAAACATGCAAGAGGCTGTGGATCAGTGGATCCTTCCTCATCCTTTCTTAATCTAATACTTACCCTTTATGTTCTATAGCAGTTCAGTAAGATGTAAAGGAGACACTGGATCCACCCTCGTCCTCTGTAAATCTAATACTTACCCTTTATGTTCTATAGCGATTCAGTAAGATGTAAAGGAGACTCTGGATCCACCCTCGTCCTCTGTAAATCTAATACTTACCCTTTATGTTCTATAGCGATTCAGTAAGATGTAAAGGAGACACTGGATCCACCCTCGTCCTCTGTAAATCTAATACTTACCCTTTATGTTCTATAGCGATTCAGTAAGTCATGTAAAAGGCTCTGGATTGGTGGATTTACCTCTGCCCTCTATAGTCATATAATCTGATAGTTACCATTTATGATTTATAGCAGTTCAGAAAACATGTAGAAGACTCTAAATCCTGTGGTATGTCCATCCATTCGTTGATTGTCAGATGACCGTTAATCTTCTTTCAGACTCTTAGGAAACTCAGATTTCTCCTTATATCTGATAAATGTCTCTAGAAAAATTATTTGACATGCCATCATGAATGTTGCTAGCTTTGTCATTCTACATTAATGAATAGCTGTCATGATTACAAAGGTTGGTTGGTGCAATAGATAATGGATCAGGTGGTAAAATTCTCGTTTCAATTTTTTTTTAACTGTTTTTGCAACAGTCAGATGATTAAATACACATATACATTGGTTAGTGTGTGAAAGATAGAGTTTGGAGGGTTTCCAGGTCAGTAAACTGCCTTCCATCAGATACAATATACACTATAACAAAGAACAGAGATGGCAGTAAGTATTTTTTTAATATATACTATTGATTTGTTCGTGATTTCATCATGTAAACATACTACAATTGTACATACTGATAAATATTGAGATTACATTACAACATTCAATACAGCTGTGTAACAATTATGTAGAAAGGAAAAAGGATGAAACTGTGATAAGATTTTTGTTTGTTCAATATTTAAGAATTGACAAGCTGCCAAGGTTTTACAGATTTCTGAAAAATGCAGTCAGTAAAGAGGAGTACTTATTATTTATTTGTGTTGTCGACGCTGACTTCCTAAGGTCAACTTTTAAAGTCATTGTGTTATTAGGAGAAACATCCTCACTTTTTCAATTGTTCTTCAGACATGGACGAAAATTTAGATATATCAAAAGGTTAGTTCTTGTTCTGCAAGCTTTTTTCCTTCAGACTTACTGATTTTGCATTGAAAACAAAAGTGTGTTTATTTATAGCTTTGTATATCAGGGTCCTAACTAAAACCTTGACAGACAGGAAGTGCTTGGTGGCAATCATGTCTTGTGTAGATAAGATTTTATTGAATGTATCTTGACAATACTGACTGTATGTGAATACATGTTTCTAATTCATATATAATTGTAAGATTTCATCCCAAATTTGTCACACAGAACATAAGATATAAGAACACAATACCAATCAAGACATTAATAGATTGTGTCAGATAGCTTTTTTTTATTGTTAGACTTGAACAAAATGTTGTTGGACTTTCTTGGTCTAAATCTGTCAATTTGCCAGGGACACAGAATTTAAAAAAAAAAGAAAATGATAATATAGAAATGAAGTGAAAATAAGAAGTCCCCCTCTTTGTTCTGTTGCTTTTCACTTTCCTTATTATGTTAATTGTGTTCCATAGTCTCTATGCCAATTAGTATCTTATACCCTTTCAGAAAATGCTCTCTTTTGTGTATATGCTCCTTATAACATTTCACTTGATTGTATGACATTGGTTCACCAACATTTTGGATGTATTGCCACTTGCCTTTCAGCACGACATCATAGCCCTCATGTTTGCTTAGCCTTCAAGAATGGACTCCCCTCCAGGACATAGTGTTTCTCAAAAATATCTTGTTTGAAACATTGCAGTGTTTATCTTGATTGATTGTACTGATGTGCAGTCCCAACAATTGTTTACAAAGTAGCCAAGCATGTCATCAAACTTTTCAGTCCTCCACCATTAACTATAGGTTTGCTGTATGTCCATCTGTTCTCATGTTTTTTCATTCTCCACACTTTATTTTGTTTAGGCTCATCCTTATATTACTTCACACTGGAAGTTTTAAACTTTGGGTTAACCTTGATGAGGTGATGTGCATGTGTCTTGTACCAGAGTAGATCACTCTGAATAACCTACATTTTGAACTTACAACTCCAAAAAAGAAAAGATTGTCAGAGACCTATCCCCTCACTACTAGTCATTGGAACTTGTACTTGGATCATGGGTCGACCTAGGTAAGGTGCTGTGTCATATACCTTGGACCTACATTTTGACCTTTGACTTATTATATCAAAGAAAAATTCTAATTTTGTTTCAGTTTCAATATTTCTTGTCAAGAGAACTTCATACTTCGGGTAAGGGTTCCGCAGAATGAGGGTGTTTGTCATATTGTATCAAAAGTAGGTCACTGGCTTATAGTTAAACATTCACACAACACTAAGAATGGCCCATACTGATGATTTAGATTAGTGATATTGCTTCTTTTAATTGGTGATGCCACTTATTTGTATGAGCTTCTGATATTGCGTACTAAAATTAGTGATACTTAATTCATTCACATTTATGCCCCAAAAAGCAGTTAAATAATGGAACACCATGATTACAGTGATGCCATATATGATTTAGTAACACATGCCACTTTCCTGATTGGATACAGTGGGTATGTTAAGTATCCATTGTCTTGAATTAGTTTCCTTGACATATGCTTTTACATTAGAGTTTGGGGGAGGATGTACTGTAATTTACCAAATCATTCTTTAATGTTGACTCTTTGTACATTCATTAATTAGCAGGTTATCCACAAATATTCCCATATATCGTGATTTGCATTTATGCTCAAATCATAGGACATGTATTAGTACAATTAAATTGCCTTGTCAATTAGTTTGTTTGGTCTGTTGAAGTGTACGTACATAATAGTTGAATTTTGTTTACATCACTTGTGCATATCATTTTGTCAATACATTTAAGTAAAACTTGTCATTGTTTATTGATGTTAAAATTTGAAATATTGTTAATACTTGAAAAGTGTTAGCTAAAAAAGCAATTTGTTTTGTGAAATATTTTTGAAAATAAAAATCACTTTATGAGTTTTGTTCATGGTGATTTATTTTTTACCACTGCTGGGTGTGACTTTCCATAAAGATTCTTTCAATTTGATGATTTTCCATAATCATTCTTTCAATGTTTTCCTGGTGAACACGTTCACATCAGTTTGAATGGTAATAAATTAGAAGCTTAAAGGATAAGAACAACTCCCAGTACATGTGTAATTAGATAGTTAAATTTCATACAGAGTTATCTTTCCATCATTGTCACATATGTCATTTCTTATCTGATTGTCACATGATTTCACAAGCTTTATCTGTTGAACAAATATGTATGTCAAATTTCTAAGGATAAAAACAGGTAACAGTTACTATAAAACATATGTTTTAGTTGTTATCAGCTTTATTTATCAGCATTTTCCTTGATGTTACCAGTAATGAAAACTTAATGAAACAAAGGTTTATTTCTTAGAAATCTGATTTATTACATAAATTTACAAACATACACATAAGAAATGAGAAATTTTAAATCGCAAATAAATCATAACTCATAACAGAAATATAGATTGAATAATACTAAATCATTGCATCAATAAATTAACCTTCACATTATTAAGGAAAGGCTTTGCCTTTTCTCAAATCTTCATTAGTAAATTATTTTAATGTTCAAAAGTTTCTAGTAAAGGTAAAGCAACAAAAGCAAAAACAGATATTTATATGCAAACATCAAATTGCCTGAAAGTAAATAGATTAAAATAAGGAATTCTGATATAGGTTACAAGTACCTCATTCAGATTAACTGTCACTAACATAAAAAGAAATCAAACTTAACTGGAACATTACAGATGTTAAAAATTATGTGCAGGTGCGACCACAAATAAAGATTATTTTTAAGAATTTAAGAGAATGGGTTTTGACTGCATCATATGTAGGGGTGGGCAATCACATCGCAATAGTTAATTTATCACAACATTTGTCAAATGGCAATATATCACAATAAGATTTTTAAAATCACAATATATTGCAGCAACTTTCATCAACTGTTTGAGAAATTTATCTGCAGAACTTTGGATGATTTGGTAGAGAAATTTTTATTGAAACCAAAATTTAACTTGTCAGATATATTCTAAAGTAAACTTGTGTAGTGTTATGTAACTTCAAAATTATGTAGTTTTTCAGTTTATCACTGCATTAAGCTACCGATGTGTTATGTACCTCTTTGATCTACCAAAAAATCATATATAGATAAAATACATTTATCATCATATATCGCAATATCTCTTTGAATAATACAGTATACTGCAAAATAAACTGTTTGCAAAACCCACCCCTAACCATTAGTGATCATTTGAACATACTTTACTTTCTACTGAAATGCAATCTTCATGGTCAACACCTGGTATAATAGACAATTAAAGGGACTAAATGTTATTGATTGCTCATAATTTTAATCATACACATATCTTCTATTTCAATTTTGTTTCACAAGTGCAGAAAATAAAGCCACATTTAAATACATGTTTCTTATCCCTTGAATTTATCAATGTGGTATTTAATTAGACCTCAGACATCCACCTAGATAATGGAGCAGACAAATAATGATTAAAATAAAGGTAATTTTATGTGTTCTTCATTATTTTTAAGACAGATGCCTTTGAATATCCTGAAAGTTTCCAATGTTATAACTAGAATAGATAGGACTGTATTTTAACTGCAGCTTTTTTGAAATTTCTATCAAATGTTTAAAATTCTGCAGAAAAATTCTAGGTACACTGTATATGTTGGTAAGGAAATAGGAAACCTATTGTAAGTTAGGTATACTAAAGAGGACATTCACTATCGGCTGTAATTTAATTACATTTGATACTTGTGAATGGGAATTTCAAATGAATTTAAATACAGGTACCATAAATCTATATCTTGTATTTGTCTTCATATGTATAAATGTATTAGAAATTGTATCAACTACCTTTATATAAATTAAATGATTAAAAAGTAGATTGACCATGATCATTACGGAAAACAGTTCAGAATGACTTTCACATCTTAGACAAAGAATGACCAATTACACATTTTAACTGGGCTACTTAATTCCATGTGGCTTGGTTAAAATGGTCAAAGAAACATAGAGAACTTTTCCACAATTAATAAATGCACTGGGGATTGGAAAATTGAACTACTATAGGGTAGAGCTCAGAATATGTTTTACTAAATGCAGTTCTTGGAATTTTCTGTCAAACATGATCATGAACCAAAAAGGAACTGTACCTGTATTCCATGTTCTATGTACTGATTCTGAAAACTAACGACAGTCAACCTGTTAGTTTTGACAGACTCTGCTGCCCTTCTCAAACTGCATGTGCTGAATATTCCATAAGCCAGTCTCAGTCCCAATTTGTGCCTGTCAGTTTTCACTTAGGCCGAACCATTCCAACTGTTTAAACTATTTTCATGGAAAAAGCTTAGTTTGTCAATAATTTTCAAACATTTTCACCAAGTACAGATTGTGGACAAGTCAATAAACATACAAATGTATCTTTAATATACATATGTAAATAGAGTCTTACTTTGAAAAGTCTGTTTAAAAAAATCTATTTTTGATGATTAATTATATAGATAAAACTGTAAACCAACTTTCTTACACAGCCTTCTTCTTGAACCAGACTATACACTGTACTTGTATTACTGTGACCCCACACAACAGCTTTATAATACCAGGTACACACTTTGTCTGTTAACATGCATACAGTACTTCAGCATGTTTAAATCATCTTTGTGATGTCGGACATTTGTAATACATGGATAATTTCCATTCTGGACTCTCTACACATATCATACATCCTGCACTCAAGATATTTATGAAAACTGCAATTTCATCCCAGTCTTGATTTGTGGCAATTGGTTTTCGAGAACTTGTCTAACCTTGACATTTGCAGAAGTTAATCGCACATGAAAGAAAGTTGGTTAACTGTACCTCTATAATAATTTCCCAGCCCTCAAATCACAAATGTTTTTCCCTTGAAAACTCATACAGTATAACAATGAAAGACTTTTATTATTTTTGTTTTAAAACTGCTCTGTTGTAAACAAGTTACATTGACAGTTTTTGACAATAATCTTACTCAAGATTATTTGTACTCCCACCCAAAATGTCCTCAGCGCTCATATCATTTATGGTTGTGTTTGCACCACTAGAATCTGTGTTTGGCATACTGTCCTGATTACAATCATTCTGGAAGACATCTTCCAAGGACTGATTCTCTGATATGCTTTCTAACATATTCACAGGTTTACTGGCACTATGGCAACACGACTTTCCTTGTTGAGGAGCACTCTTGGGGATAGATGGTTCTGCTACTGGTGGTGGATTCACTGGAGCAAGAGCACTCTCTGAAGCAGCTGCCTGTGTGTACTTGGTACCTCTCTTCTTTCCCAACACTTTCACATAATTAGCAGGAATGATGCCACTTTTCTTTCCATCAATACTAGCTAACAACCAACCTTTCATTCTTGGCTGTAGTTCTGAAATTCAAAAAAGTTATTTGGTAAAAAAATATGAAAAACTCCCGTATTAATTTTGATGTCCGGAGTTTTATTAAAAAAATCTAACGAAATGCCATGCAGAAACTTAAAACATTCTAGACTCAATTACCATATGATAGATTTATAAATAATCATAATAACAGGTGTTGTCAAAATCAACTTGGATATAATCTTCCAATTCTTGTTATAGGAATTCATGACAGATTTCACCATTTACCAGTAATACTAGTAGAACATGATTTGATGACTACTGTTGAGTGTTTATAAGGTGATTTCTAGCCTGTGGCACTATGATAAGTTAATCTCTAACATAGAAACAGCTACTTTACAGACTCATGGCTTTATCCAGGGTTAGATAGTCATGATTCCATATGTGAAAGATGATATTTCTGTCCTTTCATCAAGTAAAGAAACCATCATTTACACACACTTTAGGTAAAAATATTACTCAAACACATTTATCTGAATTACCGAGAAAAGGGACCCTTTTTTTATACTTTCTGACCTCTTATATCTCAACCTATATCTAGTGGGTTGTGTTAATAACTTCCAGTTCAAATTATGTTGCTGTTGACTGCTGTCCAGTTTAATGTCAAAACATAGTGAGATAGATGATTGTTAAAATAAAGACATAGAAGTGCACCTTTACACACAGATTGAGAGTTTAATACAGAAGAGACAAATACCCGATAATGAATGAAACTGCATCATATAGCTAATTTGTCCTTCTGGGACTTGTCAGTGATGCTAAGGGCCCAAATTTTGACACCTGGGTGCAATTGAAGACATTAAAAGTTTATCAAAAGAAATATCAAAATCTAGATGGGGAGGTGCACTAACTGGAACAAAATGATATAATTTTTTATGTTTAGAGTCATATAGGCTACAATTGAAATGAATCTTTTGGCATACAAGTTACGGGGACTAAAAGTTCACCAGCCCTGGCAGGGTCTCCCATCTGCAATCTCTAAGATTGTACAAAAGTCCCACAAATGAATCTCTCAATAGATATTAAGAATTAGATACATACAGCCAAATAATGAAATATCTTCCCTTGAATGGAAGAATGAAAAGATTTCTCTCCAGTGAGGAAAACCGAATTTTCAAAAAGCCTTGTCTTTTCTGTAGACCAAAAAACTTATTTTGTCTTACCTTTTGGAGCAATGTTGATGTTTTGTCCGGCAGTGAAAGACAGCTCCTCATCTGATTCACCCTTGAAATCAAACTCAGCTCGGGCTACAAAGTGGTCTTCCTCACCTGTTGCCCACTTTTTCCCTGTAGAAATATAAATCAAAGAAACAATTAATATTTTGTGACTTCCTGATTATACAGTATTGTATTTGTCTTGCAACAAGTCCAGGAGATCATTAAAGGAATTTGATCTCAAAACCATGCAGAACACAATTACACAGAATGTGAAAGCAAGACATAATTTGTATGAATTCTCAGAAAAATCAAGATTTAGTTTCAAAAGGAGTATAAATGTTAATCTATAAATGCTACGATAACAAATTTAGCTTTTACCTTCTGAAGGATCAGCAATTCTGGTAATAAATTTCCATATCAACCAAGGTGCACCAAGGATGATTCCAAAAAACACAAGAATAGGCCAAGAAGATTTCTTTGGATCTTTTGCAGCTTCTGCTGCCAGCTGTTCTACTGTGTCAGAGGCTTGTGTCCATGCTTCCTCAGCATATCCAGCTGGTCTGAGGCGCAGCAGCACCAGCAACCTTCTGTAGAGGTATCGGATCACCCGGATAACAGCAAGTGCTGAAAACACATGTCCTAACTGCATTTTCAGTCTTGAAAAATTGTCTGCCACTCCAAGAACTGCTCGAAAGGAATTGTACACTGCCTGAAACGTGGAGTCCAACATCATGCTGACAGATGTAAATGCATTTACAATACTTTCGACAGACTGAAAGGCTTGTCGTGAGCTCTCCTCTGCTTGCCTGGCAAATCCATTGTACTGATCTTCAGGCCCATTCATCCCATATCTGTTATAGCCCATGCCATATCCCCCCACACTGCTGTACGGACTACCATACATACCTCCTCCAAAGCTGCTGTATGGACTCATATAGGAGGATCCATACCCCATTCCACCATATCCCCCTCCAAACCCAGACAGACCTGACATACGACTGCCATACATGCCTTGCTGAGATGGTCTGCCAGGAAGAGGAGGTGGCTCTCTACTCCCAGTTGCTGTTGGTCCCGTACAACATGGTGGGAGAGGTGCACCAGGTCTGTAATGATATAAATGCATGGAAAATAAAGGTTTATTTCAATTCCTCATATACCAAACATGTAGTAAATTTCTTTACACCACCCCTTGTCCCATCCTTATTATCACCACCGTCAATAAATAATCAACCAAGCAATGCAAGGTATGCGAATTTAAGTTGTTACACTAGGGCGAGACGTCCGGTACCTTGGTCCCGTACTTGATCAGCCAGGTAAAATATAATGGTAACACTTAAGATCCATATAACATCCCTTTAACACAATCACAATGATATGAACTGTTCTAATACCGTTATAATAAATCTTATCTTACCAATTCCCTACTCTTATATAAAGACAAGTCGCTGACATTCACGAAAATCCAACATATCGCAGGACATACAAAGATAACCTTAACCGTTACAAATGTCGAGTACAAATCTGAGTTGTCAGTAGCAAAATCGTAGAATTAACATATAACCATGATAAAATCAGTACCCTGACATGTTGTTAGATGGTACAACTGGTGATCCTTGTAATCTGTTTACTCCTGGACTTTCCCAAGGCTTTGGAGGTGCAGCCATCTTAGATCAATCCTCGTCACCGCTGCGCTTATCAACAGGGTACGAAGGTCAAGGCCGTTATAGGCCTAGATTACGACAGATTCGACGCTCAGCAGAAATTAGTCTATTAGAAGAATTCTTTATCATATAATTTTCTATCAAAGATTGATTTTAAAAATCAATCCACTTTAAAAGGTCTTCCCAGGAAGAGTATATATATTATTTATAGAAGAAAAGTGTTTATCTGTACTGTATTATATGTCCCTGGTGTAAGTAATATAAAGATACGAGGTAAATGACTTGAACCTTGTATCGTGTTGTTCAGAGAATAGTTTACATCCATGTCATAGTTTCACTTATCATGAAATAATTGAAATACGATTATTTAGTATACTCTAACGTATGGTTTTATTGATTCGTGTAGTGAACTACACGGGACAAGAGTATTTGTGTTACTGACGAATGCTCTCCGAAAACAACTTTATTGGACACAACACGTTGATAAAGGGCAACTCTGTAGTTATGGGGTTGCTATGGTGGCTGATAATTGCCATTTTCGCTTTTTTTTCGCAGTTCAAAACGCAAAAAAGCGAAATTTAAGCATTCTTTTTTCGTTTATTTCTTACAGCAAGAAAAAGCGCAAAATGCGGGCGAAAATGCGAAAAAGCGACATAGCTAAAACTTCTTTAAAAGCGAAAATGGAATGCTCAAATTTTGCCTTTTTGCGTTTTGAAACGCGGAAAAGCGAAAATGGCACTAATCAGCCACCATAGGTTGCTTTACTTGACATTGGTACACTACACTTAGTATGACCAATGCATACACAAGTTTCATTATTCTAGTGATCCTTCGCACACGAAATTTTGATAAAGGACAATGACTGTGAAGGAGGGGTCGCGGGCTCTGAATTTTGTACGCTGCGCATCGTACTCGTATGACCAACGTGTCCATTAAAGGTCATGATCCTTACTTTACTTTGGGGGAACTAGAGCTCCGGACACGACAGGACGGACAGGTTTCGGGGAGCATAACTCCAAGTTAACGAATATGTTATCTAAACCACAAATCGTTAAAACTGGAACATTTCCTTATAAGGTCATGGTGGCAAGAGAAAGAAGATGTTTGATTGGTGAATATATGAATAAACTTGTCCATGGATAGCCCGAGTTTTCTCTGGCTCATACGCCAGGTGTTAGACATTTTGACGGTGAACATATAAGCTTCAGACATACCAGACATCTGAACTATCTAACGTCTACTGTGAGAGCCAGATAAAAACAGGGATTTTCCAGGGGAAGAAACAATCTGAAAATGGACAAAGTAGCGCATGATTTCACTGATTCTTCAGTCTCTGATACGACTGAAATTCGATAGACATGGGCAAGGTATTATGGACGGATGACGGGCGGTTTTCGTGCAGCTAGAATAGATAGAGTTGCTTCCCATAGAACACGGAGAACGTTCATTTCATTTTGTACCCCTTTTCTAGTCTGACACTGCTTATACTGAATTCCTTGTACGTGTGACACACTGAGACCAGTTAGAACACGAGTGTGATAGACCAGTAAAAAATTTACACAAGACATAGCTGCGTTCGGTGAATGAAGATTATTTTCACAGAAAGGATAAAAATCATAATTCCCTTCTTTGTTTTTTTTCTGTGAGAAAAAAAAAGAAAACATGTTTTCGCAATTTCGAAGATGATAGTTTGACAAATGCAACATTTGGTATATGTATGGTATCTGGCAATATATACCTTTTCATGGTTGTATGGTTTTGCTATATGATAGTGCATAATGAACCATATTATTCTTTAAGGTCTCTTACGTTAAGTTTATTGATTATTCTGTGTTGTTGTATAAGAGACCCAGACTTTCAAGCTTTCAAGACGTGTTCTCCGTATTCCCGTTATTTTCCATTTTCAAATTTCATTGGTGCCCTCTGACTCTATCTATTTAAAAACTAAAAAAAAAAAAAATAAGGTATATCAGCACCGGTATCAATTAATTAGATTATGATCACGAGGTAAATAGAATCGTTAAGTAGGAGACAACGCTGTGTCTAGATCAGGTTTGGTGCAACAACTTCATTACTTAAGGGAACACATGTACTTGATATTCTTCCAAAATAATCCAACATTGAAATGAATTATTGAGGTTAGTGCATCTAACAATCAAGATTGTGATATTTATGATACATGATGCAGGTCAGTAATTCATTGTTTGTGTGTAACATGATATATTGCCTCTAAGATTTCTGTTGGAAGGCGGTAGTCCTTTCAGAGGCTGTGGTATCGGAAATTATAATGTTGAAGTGTACCTAGGGCAGAGTTTGGGTGATAATGTTATGTTAGTATTCATTAACCTTGCTTTCTGCGTAGAACATTCAAATATTCAAATATTGAAATAAAACATTTTGTATATCAGGCCACTTCGGTTCCACATTGTGAAATAAATTTAAAAATATAAATTAAAAATTCATAATCAAAGAGAGCCTAGAATATGTGACAGAATAATCTTAAATCTATGACATTTGAAAGTGACGTTTTATAATTGTATGTTAGTGTAAAACATATTGTAAAGGTGAATCTAATTATACTTATCTATCATACAATAGTGATCGATTAGATTCAGACCGAATGTATGATAGAATTGAAAATCTTGAATACAAAATGGTAACGATAATGCCAATTAAGCGATGCGCGAATTACTGTTCTACTGCGAGGCGTAACACACACATTGATCAAAGATGAAAGAAAAAATATTGACATTTGTTGTCGAGTTTTTAAAAAATCTCATCACTTCTAATTAAGGGTGCTGACACAACATGACAGAGAGTGAAGACTGGCATAGAAACTGGATAAACAATGTAGGCTTTTTTTTTACCTCAAGCGACTGTTGATCTGATGGTAAAGATAAACAGAAATTTAAGACGAGACATACTTTAGACAATCACCTGCAAGACATGTTATGAATTATAAGAACGGTTGACCTATGTGGGGCGGATGTTTTAGTATTTATCTGCAAAATATGATAATCCGAAAAAAGCTCATATCATGCATCCGAATTATCTAATTCTTGATATCATTAATTCCAATTCTTGATATCATTAAATGAATTATTGATGTCATTAATTCGACCTATTGATATCATTAAATTAATTATTGATGTCAATTAATTTTCGATGTCATTAAATGAATTATAGATACCACTGTGTCGAATTAATGATATCACTGAATGCCCATAATTACTTTTATCAATAATTCGAATTAGTGATATAACATTTTGTAGAAATACTAAAGCGGCGCCCATAGACATTGAAAAAAAAGAAACAGTGATTTGATCACGCTTCAAATCAAAATCCATTAGATGACCAGAAACTCGTTTTAATGCTGTACTGGTGCCGAACAAAGACAGATAAATATACACAGAATATTAACCTTGTTTACATCTTCAAAAACAGAGCAGAGTCGAAGTAAACAGTGATTTCTAAATTTTGATTTCTTTGAAATCCGTTAAATCCTCACTAATTAAGAGTCATTAACGAATTTTTATCAAAGAATTTTTACGTGTGATACACCGATGGGGTATATACGTTTGCTAACGTGTTAGTACCTCACCTGATCGTCGCAACATTACCTACTTTTCATTCATACCTTTGCCAAAGAATTATCATTATAAAATCTGTACACTATAGTGGTTATCATTATAAAATCTGTACACTGTAGTGGTTATCATTACAAAATCTGTACACTGTAGTGGTTATCATTATAAAATCTGTACACTGTATTGGTTATCATTATAAAATCTGTACACTATAGTGGTTATCATAATAAAATCTGTATACTGTAGTGGTTATCATTATAAAATCTGTACACTGTAGTGGTTATCGTTATAAAATCTGTATACTGTAGTGGTTATCATTATAAAATCTGTACACTGTAGTGGTTATCATTATAAAATCTGTACACTGTAGTGGTTATCATTATAAAATCTGTACACTGTAGTGGTTATCATTATAAAATCTGTACACTGCAGTGGTTATCATTACAAAATCTGTACACTGTAGTGGTTATCATTATAAAATCTGTACACTGTAGTGGTTATCATTATAAAATCTGTATACTGTAGTGGTTATCATTATAAAATCTGTACACTGTAGTGGTTATCATTATAAAATCTGTACACTGTAGTGGTTATCATTATAAAATCTGTACACTGTAGTGGTTATCATTACAAAATCTGTATACTGTAGTGGTTATCATTATAAAATCTGTACACTGTAGTTGTTATCACTATAAAATCTGTACACTGTAGTGGTTATCGTTATAAACTCTGTACAATGTAGTGGTTATCATTATAAAATCTGTACACTGTAGTGAATCATCATTATAAAATCTGTACACTGTAGTGGTTATCATTATAAAATCCGTACACTGTAGTGGCTATCATTATAAAATCTGTACACTGTAGTGGCTATCACTATAAAATCTGTACACTGTAGTGGCTATCATTATAAAATCTGTACACTGTAGTGGCTATCATTATAAAATCTGTACACTGTCGTGGCTATCATTATAAAATCCGTACACTGTAGTGGCTATCATTATAAAATCTGTACACTGTAGTGGCTATCACTATAAAATCTGTACACTGTAGTGGCTATCATTATAAAATCCGTACACTGTAGTGGCTATCATTATAAAATCTGTACACTGTAGTGGTTATCATTATAAAATCTGTACACTGTAGTGGTTATCATTATAAAATCTGTACACTGTAGTGAATTATCATTATAAAATCTGTACACTATAGTGGTTATCATTATAAAATCTGTACACTATAGTGGTTATCATTATAAAATCCGTACACTGTAGTGGCTATCATTATAAAATCTGTACACTGTAGTGGTTATCATTATAAAATCTGTACACTGTATTGGTTATCATTACAAAATCTGTACACTGTAGTGGTTATCATTATAAAATCTGTACACTGTGGTGAATCATCATTATAAAAATT